TAGGAAATCTCCTCCCGTGGGATTGTCGGAGGGTCAGCTATGGGTCCGTTCTGACTGGATGTTCAACAACTACATAGACCAAAGAAAGTCAATCAGCGGTGGCCTGGAAGGGGACAGTAATGTGGGAGTGATGACTATGTACAATACCATGACTACGGTGGTGGCTTCACAGTTGGGTGTTGATGTTAAAAAATGACTAGATTTCATACTTTTTTTTTCACGTTTCATCCTTTAAATGTGTTCATTTAATTATATGTCACTTTAACCAATTTAACAAACTCACATCTATGGAGTAGATTCCAACACATAACAACTCTGGGAGGGAGAGAAGATAGAACTGATCCATAAGGCTTTCTTCAGTGTAATCTTTAGGGAAATGGATTAGTTGGCCTATACGACTCCTCATGGCAGGTTCAAACCTCCAACCTTTGTATTACAGATGAACACCAACCGTTGGTGCCATTCTGGGAAGTAGGTCATGCACATCTCAATAAAACATTAAAAACTAAAAAGAAAGAAAGAAAAACAACCAAAACATGCTTCACTTCTGCTGCAGGAAGTTAGAAGTAGAACTTCAATAGTATCCAAAACAAAAACCCAGGATTAGAGATAATAGTATGTGATGGAGGAACCTGAAATTTACACACTAAAAGAAACCAGCTCTTTTCAAAGTTGGAAAATTTTGGAAAGCAGATCCACTTCCTAAACAACATGCCTCCGGAAGCTCTATGAACTTTGATAAATGATGATGGTTCTAGAAAGGCCTCAGGCCTTTTGTTCATAGGGTCACTATAAGTCATGCTCAACTTAATGGCAATCAACAACAACAAATTATTACTTGAGGCAGTATAACTGTTACAACTCTGGTGGGTTCGTTTTTTTTAATAACACTTTTAGAAGAATGTCTTTCAACTCTGTGTTTGTATAACACTGATAAAAATAAAACTTTAAAAATAGATAAGGAATAAAACACAGTGTTTTTATGTATCACATGAGTGATTGAAACACAGTGTGAATGTAGGAATGTATGAAATATGGTGTGTATGGACGATACACATGTATATTAATTTTTTATGCAAACTGATATAAAATAAAAGTGGCGAGAAAAAAATAGGTGAGGGATAAAAACAGGAACTTTATATTGAGAACTCATCTGTACAGATAATTTTTTCTGTGTAGTTTATTTACCAACGTGGTAATAGTATGACTTTAATTTATTCAGATGAGGCATTAAACTTGGTGGAATTTCATTGACAATTGAGTGTTTCCACTTTGCTTGGCTCTTTTAGAGCTGCTAGAGGGGTAAAAACCCAAAATATTTATCCTGAAAGGCAGAACAAAACGATTCATTTCCTTTAAATGGAGGTTTTTAAAGATTAATTAAGTTGTGCATAGTCATTTTCTGTACTTTATTGATTCAGGATTACTTGTACTCTGTAAATGTGCTGAATTATTTACACATCTTGGGCAGCTAATGCTAATTCACAACATACCCAGTGGGACCTCAGAGTTCTGAAATGCTCAATGTGATTGAGGGATCAGTAACATTCCATTCATAAAATGTGTCACCTACAGGTTAGTGGAAATAAACAATAGGAAAGACAATGGGTGGATTATGCAAATGCACTGAAAAGATTTAAACGTGGGGAGGGGACGACAAGAACCCAATTTGTGTTTTATTTAAACGTGGATTAAGGATGATGGTATACAAAATGATTAAAGCCACTTGGCTAATTCTAGGCTCTAACAAGCACCATTGCCCAGGACAACCTCTAGCAGAAGAAATTGGTTGTTAAGGCTTTTGTTGGGGAGGGGAGCTGGGTGGAATGTAGGGAGACAAGATTAGATGAAGGAAACTGTTAAATGCAAATAAGAAGCATAACTTTCTGAAGGAAAATGTGAGTGTTCCACATTATATGGCAAATATTTGTGTTTATCTGAGAATAACGAAGACTTTATGAAACAAAAACTGGATCCTCATCTAAAGGCAACTACTGCTTTGTTTTAAAAAAAAAAGAAGTGAGAAGTCTTTCACTTTAAAATTAAGTTCCATAGAGCAAACAGTACCTTTGTGTGTATGTTTGTTGGGGAAACTTGTACGGTGTGGAAGAAAACTTAATGAGAAAACTACTACGTCTACTGCCTCCTTGAAAAATGGAGACAAGTGCATTTGTTTCTCACTTGTTGAATATTGTGAAATGTGTAAGGTTGAACAAGTTGCAGCGTGGGGCACTTGATCTTGAGGCCAAGTGGTGTGGGGGAGACAGTGGCTGAGGCTGGTTCAACAAAGCAGAGAAAGGTCTTGATGTCAAGTGGAAAGCAGCCTCAACAAGGTCCCTTCTGAAGAGTAGTAAACCTGTTACCACTCTGTGGCAACTAACTTTTAAGGAGCCCGCCCACTTCGCCAGTCTTCCCTGGTCCTCATTCAGAACATCCAGATCGCCTGCCCTTGACATGTAGACATGTGTTCAGAGTTCAAAGAAGGTCAAAGGCCTGAGCGGACAAGTATGTGACTGCCAGCTGTAAGCACAGTGCTTCGAACCCACCAGCTGCTCTGCTCTGGGTTTCAGGGAAGCACCCACTCTCACACGGATCTCACAGCCTAGGAAACACTAGGGGCGGTTTTGCTCTCTTGTGCTCTCTGGGTAAGTCTCTCAGGGGTCTCTGGTCAGTTAGTGATAAAGGAGTTGTGCTGCCAACCCAAAGGTTCACAGTTCGAATCCACCAGCAGTTCTGCAGGAGAAAGATGGACAGTCTCCTCCCATGCGATTTATTGCCTCTGAAAACCCACTCAGTGGAGAGTCAGCTACAGGTCAGTCCAACCCAGTGGTTTATGGCAACATGACAGTTGGTTGATTGGACGATGCATAGAAGCAGTAGTCAGAATGTATGAGATTTGTAAAATGATACAAACATTCTCGAAGGCAGTTTGGTGCTTCCTCAAAAAGCTGACCATAGAAATTACATATGACCTAGCTATTCCACAACTAGGCATGTACCCTGAGAAAATGAGAACTGAGGCACAAAAACAGGTTTGTACACCAGTGTTCACACCAGCATTCACCATCGCAAGAACATGGAAACAGCCCAGATGTCCAACCACAAACAAGTGGGTTGAGAAACTATGGTACATTCACACAATGAAATACTATGCAGCACGCACGAGCAATGATTTTATAAATTAGTACCTACATTGGGAGGGACTGGAGAGCATTATGCTGAGTGAACTAACCCAGTCCCACAAGA